CTTAGTCCTGAACAATCCTTTTCAACTGTAAAAATAGCTTTAGAAACGCAGATTAAGACACTACATTTATGCTTGATATATTTGAGTCCATTTTAGGGACAATGCTAAGGTTGTTTGATGTTGGCAATTGAATAAACAAACAATTACTCAATAAATTAATAGTCGGTGTTTAGCGAGAGTGCCACAACAAGGTGACTGACATCATGCACACAAGCATACAGACACACTGCAAACAATTGTGTCCGGTTTGCTTTACTCCATCTTTGGACCACTCTCTAAAAGTGGCAACAACTTTTTGTGAAAGTGTACATGCCCGAGCACTTGAGACGGCCAGCCATAAGTGAGCCCTGATTAATGGCACCCGTCCGAAGGCGTTGAAAGATGGTGATGCCTTCTTTCGATTGCGATCAGCAAAGGGCCGTTTATTTGCAGTATCTTTGCCGGTATTTGCCGTTGGATGTTCACTCTAAATAAAGCTTCCTTTCTGATTGCTGCCTGACTGTAGTAGAGAATTTAGGTAGGATGATATTATAATTAGCCGTTAATCTCATTAGCTAACTGCGCAAGCTGCCTCATCATATGCCTCTCCACCTGATCCACAATGTCGAATAAATCAAACGGCGATGGACTCGATCCAATTATTATTTCTGTACACACTATTACACTGCCATGAACACTGCCGCTGGTCAAATCAGTTGGTGCTGCACTGTCACTGCAAACAGCACTCCTGGCGGTCTATCGCTGTTCGGATCACGCATTTTGACAGGCCACTCCAAAGACTAGCATCATCAGTTGTACTTTGCCGCTATGTCTACCTGAAACAACGCAAGCAATAAACTGACTTTGATCTTCACACACACACACACCGTTCAAGTGTGCGCGACAAACATCAGTCTAATTGGATTTGCCTGCGTATCTTTCATGAGTATCTTCTTGCTCTGTCCAAGTGAGCGTAGTATAATTTTCCACAGTTGAACGGGCCACCAGTAGTGATGCCTCACCTGGTGGTGCACGCATGTACATAGTGCAAATTTGTACCGGCATCAGTTCAGCTCAGCGGTTTTATTCGCTCGTTAGCAACTGAAGCTGGGTTGAGCTGATTCAACATGCTCTTTCTTCTTTGATTTACTTGACCTTTTCCATGTAAATCAATGCACTAGATTTGCATTTAAATGGCGCCTCAGCGACTCACCAGAGCTCAACTGTCCATTCACATTACGTTCAGTAGGCACACTTATTTGTTATTTGCTTACCACCAGTCAGTCAGTGGCACTTGTCAGCCCTCGACGTAGTCCTATCACTTACCTCAATGGCCGGCAAAGTCGGCCGGTCGCTTCGTCGCCAGCAACTTAGAATTGGCGATACTCCACTTTTTGCCTTCACCAAGTAAAGCCATTGTGGCAATGTCTCATGTCTCTTGTTTTTCCTCCTTCCCTAGGCTCATCCACACTCATCCGATCAGAACAGCTCGCAGCGGTTGGCTCGCAAACGTCAAGTTCGTCGTCGACGAACGCGGACAGCTCGACCGCGCCCTTGGAGCTATCACGCCGACTGGACCGACTGGGACTACTACCAAACGCCGTTTGTGTACAATGAACAGGGAAGCAACGAGGACAACTTCGACAATGAAAATGCAGTTCGGAAGCTGACTGAGTTTGGCGAAAACTACGAGAGCTGGATCAACAATGAAATTGAGCTGGCGGACGAGTTGAAAAGTAAGTCAAATGCCGTTTTTTAATGACCACAATATACAAACACAACAAGCACTTCCTCTCCCTCTAACCATTTTTACTAATTGATTTTTCGTTCCTTTTGTTTGCCACCCGCTAGGTCTGAAGCCCGCCGTAGTGATTGAAAAGCCCGAAATTGAGGCCTACTGTGAGCGAGCTTTAGTGGAGAAGGCTGATGTTGCCACTTCACCGATTCCATTTTTGGAAGAGGAAATTGATGATGAGAAGAAGACAGAGAAGGAAGATGAGCAAGCAGTGGTGGCGAAAAGCTGTGCTGCGCAGACCATTGAGAGCAAGTCCACACAAACTGCCCCCAAATCGGTGGCTGATAGTGCCTGCATGACTGCTGCTCATCACTCGGAGAGTACAACCGGCGGCAAGTCCTGCTCACTGGCTGCCTGCAAGTCCTGTGCCAGCGCTTCTGCCAACTCCTATTCATCGATAAAGTTCTACACCAGCCTGGCGCTGGCTGGCCTCTTTGCCATCTTCTTTGCGGTGTCGCAGTTCTCGCCGGAAATTCACAAGAGCTACTCTCGACCACCACCACTGTAGAGTGCGCCTCTATTTACTTACTCACACAAGTATTCTCTTTATCGACCAACTCTTAGTATTCACACTTCTCTCTCATCACCAGAGCGCCTCATCCTCGTCGTCGCTGGGGACGGTGGTAGTGGTAGGGAGAAGCACCACCACAGCGTGGTGAGGCGCTCTGCTCATCACCTACCACTCTGTCTCAGTGGTCTAACTTCAAAACAAAAAAATGTCACTCACTGAAATATTCTCAAACATTTGGTTCCGGCAATGCCGCCTCAACAGCAGCAGCATCATTCTTCAACTATTCAACCCTCTACAACATTTGATTATTTAAATGTAAACTAGCGTGGGCACAGAAAAAATCATCTCCGTATTCTGCCCTTCCACAGAGGTATCCCGCAGTGTGCATAGCATCAAGTGGCTGTTAGATATGGCGATCACCACCAGCTCTGGCACCACTTGACCATCCACTGGCACCATTCTGCGGCTCATATGCTTGATGCCCATTAATTGTGAGGGCACGCCATGACCATCGCCATCACCGGCAGCGGTTATCGTTGTCATCTTGTGGCAAACGCTTCTCTCGTCTTTAGCTATCGGCTCATCAGCTGCAATGATGCCCGGCAAACATGTAAATTGCCCGGTCATCTGTAACACATATTGATTGCGCCTGAAGAGCGTGTGTCTTCCCTGTCAAGTCTAGCACTGGCCATCTTTTGCGCGTAATGAGTACCTTATTCATTTGCCCAGCTCAACCACGGTCAAATGGTTCACTTGGCGGCGTCAGACTGCACACTCGGCAGCCACTGGCCGCCATTGTCAGCCTTCGTCTGTCTCTAATGTGAGCCCATTAGAAACTTCATGGTGCTAATCGAGAGTTGTCCGATCTTGAGCTACATGCAGAGAGTTTGCAATGCAAGCCATCGTCCACTAATCACCCTCAATTAATCTCCATCACTTTTCGCCTTTTTCGAAACAATACTGCCATTAACGGCTCATTTCAGGCAATATTAATAATCGCTCGGTCTCTATCCACACTATTTGCTTTATTCTTAGCTCAAACTGCTCATAATTATAATCAGGCCAATATGCATGGTCTCTTCAGTGCGAGTTGAGTGCCGCAACCCAGCATGCATCAACACTCGATAACATCAACTGCTTTTTTATGTCCTATTATACCACAGCTACTACGGCAAAAGACTATTGTCAACTGATAACGCATCGACAGCAACTACTTCAATTCGATATACATCATCACACATCGTCATACTTGGCAGACTACCTTCACAACAGCTACAACGACACCTTCACCACTTTAGCAGCCCATTCAAACACTTGCCATTAACAGCAATATTACAACAAAAAAAGTCCAAGAAAACGGAAAAAGCAATCTTAAAAATACATCCTCTCAACAATCACAGCATTTTCACCCTTGTCACAAAATTTCCCGTCCAGGCTAAAGTTGCACTTTCAGTGACTGACTGCCATCGCCAAACTCTACTTGCTCACCACTTTTATTTTTTCATCTTTCGACTGCAATAGGTGCATTATTCTTGCATTGCCAAATTATCGAGTTTAATTTTCCTGATTGACCAAAATGTCTGCTTCTCTCTTATTTGCGGTGCCTTAATTGACTGTCCTTTTTGTAATTCAAAAAACTTTTATTTTTTCTTCTCCTACTTCTTCTTTTGTAACGCTGCCTGAACACGAGCTAAAGCTTTACCAAGCAGACAAAAGCGCATCACTTGTGCGTTTCTTAACTGCATTGGAACATTTTCTAAATTACGAATTGCACCGTGGCCGACTTTAGCCTAATTAATACGTTGTCAAAATCCGGCTTTTGCACTCCGCTCGGACTGCAATCTTTTTATTTTTCTTACCTTTTCTAGTCCATAACTTTGCAAATCATTGTTTCTTTTCAAAATTGCAATTGTTAACTTAACTTATGTGTCCCCCACTTTTGCGCAATTTCTTTGTTTTTTCAAAGCTGAGTCTCTCTTGCACTTAATTACTTGCGAATCAGCCAGCGGTCCTCTAGTTCCGTTTGCAGATGAGGCTTTTTTTTGCACTACCAAATCACCAACCCACCTGTTGCGCTAACCTTTTCACCCTTCACCCACTTCATCCTTCACCCTCTGGCCAATTCTTCTCATCACCTCATCATTCATTTCAGCCCAATTCCACTTGCATTTCTCATTGACACTTTTTACTATTCATTTTCTTTTTCTATTTAAGCAAACAACTCACACCCACAGTATCTATTGTTATTTCATATTTATATTTTATATAATTTATTTCTATTTTGTATTTTTGGGACACACAATCAAAGTCTGCCGACTCTCTGTATGAACAAATTTTAATAATTTTCAAAAAAATGCAAATAAAAAATGAATCATCAAAAAGCTTTGTACTATTACTGTTATTTTCTGTTGATGAAGGTTGCGAGGTTAGACGCATCTGGGCGTTTGAACTGCTGTAGTGCGTACTACGTAGCCCAACAGGCCACGAGTGAATAAAAAGAGCATGAAGGTGATGGCAGCAAGTTTTGATGTTTTTGCTTTTCTGATGATGAGTTGACAGATTTTCTTTAACTTTGATGAACGAAAAAAAGGTTTCGATATTGACGTAGTAACCAAGTAGTGAAGATAGTTAACTTTGGCAAATAAAAATTGAAAGACTGAAAGAAGGTGCTCTCTCTCTCTCTCTCTCACTCTATCAATCTTTCTGTGGCTTCACTCACAGGCCTTGTTCTCCGTCACCTGAAAGGCGCACAGTAGAGCGAACTTCAACAGCATTTGTCAGCGATAGCAGTCTTACATCGGTGTCTTTATCTTCTTCCAGATCGCCATCGCCTTCCATCTGATGCTGTCCGTTGACGCGAATCACTTCGTCCGGAAGAAAACGACCATTCGCGGCATTATGGTTATTATCTGAATTGGTGGCGTTATGCTGCTGCTGCTCAGTCTCAGCCAATGATATGCTCTTGTTGACAGCACTTGTAGCGCCATTATTATGATTATGGTTGCCTAGGCTAGTGTGTCCTGTAGTGGAGGTGCAAGTGCTCGTACTAGATTGACTCGAATTGACAAGACCACTTGACGAAATCAAAAATGAAGATTCACATTTGCTGGCGCCATCCTTTGATTTTGATTTGCTAGGTGACGGTGAAGGTTTAGGTTCAGTGCTACCATCCAACAGTCTTTCGTCATCCAAGTGCAAAGTGGAAGACAGCTCCGCTCGACTGACCATTTCCGCACTATCACTACTTCCGCTGACAGAAGGTGAGTCAATTACTGTTTGTTTTTGTCCATCCACTTCACTGCTGCTTGGAGGCGCCATCAGATCAGTGCCGCCATTGTTATAGGTGTCACTGCCATTCAACTGATTCCACTTGATATCATCGTCCAGTACGCAGTTGCTGACCAAGGAGTCCTGCTGGCTGGGGTGAGCGTAAGTGGCAGTCGATTTGCTCATAAAGCTCGACGCCTCATTTCCAGCGCCGGCAATTGGAGGACGAGTGGAAAATTTTTGCGAAGAACTGGGCAGCTTCGGCTTTGGCACAGTGACGTTAACCATTGCATTGGAAGCTGGTGCCACAGCCAGCATCTGTTCACTTGATCGTCCCTCGGCTGGCATCAGAGGCCGAATACTTTCGTTAGCAATACCGCCGAGATTAGCACTGGCAAAGGCACTGTTAGTGGAGTCTCCTTTCTCCTTAGGTGTATGGTTCTGCATGACCGATAGTTTTTGATTGTCCGTTGCTGCAAACTTAAAGTTGTCGTACATTGGCTTTTTGCGAATAGCACCAGTGTGCGGCAGAATAGTCAGCGGCACCTGAAAGCTGCATTTGTCCTGGTGAAAGCCACTGGGCAGTGAAGTAGGTATGCCAATAGAATTAGCCAAACTGGAAGACGCACCAAAAATACTCGACTCGTTCTGCAACGAGTTTCCACTGACACGGGAGTTTAAATCAAAGACACTTGGCTCCATGTCAATACTGTCGTGATCGTCCTCATCTTCATCGCCGTTAAACTCACCATCCTCCTCGTGAAAATGATGTTCAGTCAAAAGACTGCTAGGATCGACACTGTTTACGTTGCTCGTTTTCTTACGTTTGTGGCTGCTGTTATTATGATCATTTGAAGCGTTAAACGGCGACGTAAAGCTTTGTCTTGAGCCGCCAGATAGATTCACCTTTGTGTGGGTCGTCGGATCAGTTTCTGCCACTTTTCCAATCATAGTTTTGCCAAACGGTTGGCTGTTATTGTTCCCTCCACTTGCTGTAGTGGTGGTGGTGTTGGTGGTATTCAGCTGCTTTTTATCCAAACTGCTAAACAACATCGAGCTAGTACTTGGAGGAGCACTAAACTGTGAGCTACTGCACAGTTGCTGTTGAGTTGTTGCTCCATGATGATTGGGTGCTATAAAGACATTCGGTTGACTTTTAGCTCCTTCCGTGCCGAATCCAGCAAAAAACTGCGAACGGCTGTTTTTGTTGCACGGGCCATTCATGTTGATGCAGGAATTTGAGCAGTTGTTGCCATGATGACCACCCGTGAACTGGTGCTCTCGATTGGTGGGTAGTGTAATGCTTTCACGATTAGGCTGCAACTTATTCTGATGTGTGTGGCTGCGAAAGTTATCGAAAAAGTTATTTGCCCTACTTCGAGGTTCAGTTAGATTGTTGAGAGTTATGTCAGGACGGGCATGTCGATAATTATTTATGAGAGGATTCTCGTTGATGAACATTGGATTTCCTGGCACTGGACCGAATGCCGGATGTCGGTGGGCGTGAGCGTGAGTATGAGCTCCAGAAGTAGTCGGCTTAAATGAAGTACCAGGCTGTTTTTCAATCCATTTTTGCTGTGTATGAATCAAACTTTCAATAAGTTTATGCTGCTGGTTAATTTGATAGTTTTGAAGCATTAGCAGTTGATGTATTTGCTGATTAAATCTTCGCTGATGATCATTTGAACTTTCGGCCAGGCCAGATTCATGAAAGTCTGACGTAGGCACGCAACAATTTTCAATATCACACAAAAAGTAGGATGGATTATTTGAAAGCAGGCTTTCATTGAAGTTAAACGGGTTAGCCTGCGAATAGCTTTCCTTACTACGACTATCTGTTGATAATGCAAGTTGTTCCAATCGACTGTGAAGAGTATTAATTTGAGCGTTGAGCAAGCGATAGAATTGGTCAATACGCCCTTCTGGCACAAAGTGAGAGTTTTCAGCAATAAGGGGCTCGTTAAAGTCAGTTTCATTCATCTGCGGCGGCTGAAAGCTATCACTTTGTACTGTGCGGCGGTTATTACCAAACAGCTTCCGAGTGTTTTTGCTATTTCGCAAACTCTCCTCTGCAGAACCACCATGTGACTGCTGTGTATTTTTTGGAATTGTTGATTGACTTGCTTGAAAACCTCCAAAATTATTAGAAACTCGTGGCGAAGACTGAGAATGCCCTGATTGAGAATAGTTGAAAGCGTTTGAATTGTTGATCATTTTAGGTACAGTTTGAGTTGGCTTTCGTTGACCAATTGAGGATGACAATGACGAAGTAGTTGGCAGGTTAGCGTGGAGGTTATTAACATGTCCGTCAAAAAGACCGTTTCCATTTAGCTGTACTAGTTCGTCAGTTTTCCAGAGATTCTTAAAAGAAGAGAGTAAATCTTCAATGCGATTAATGCAAAATTCTGTTTCGCGCAATTGTTTTTCCTTAAAATTCGAATCTAGATTTTTATCAGTGTTACTACTGCCGACACGAGCACTGTCAGTTGGACAACTGTTGTTCAGTCCCTGAGTGCGTAAGTCTTGCTCAGGCATTGCTGAGTATACAGGTGCTCCGGGATGAGTAAGCAAATTGGAACTCAAAGAGTGCTGGCCAAATAAATTACTTTGCAAGTTTTGAGGAGGAGGGGGTGGCGGCGGTAAGTCAGACGAGCCAGGCAGCCAGTTTATGCGACATTCCTCTTCTTCGCTGCCGTCTGCCTCATCACGCCAGTTTATGTTGTCATTATGCGACAATACAAAGTGATTTTCACCGTGATGGTAATATTGATTTGCCCTCTGCGGCTCCGTTGAGGAGTGCACCATATTTGCTGCGACCGCATTGTTGTTGTTGCTGCTGTTGTTGCCGTTGTTGCTGGCTAGACTTTGTCTCAGAGCATCAGGCGTCGGGTGATTGATAGACGTTGAAGAGGAGGCAAGAGACATTGAAGATGGCGATTGCATTCCATGGTGCTGCTGTCCACTGGTGCTGACGCCATCATTGCTCGATGAGAGCTCGTTAATGCGAAACTTCCTCATAGCACAACCTGTAAATATACATAAACGTTAGCCACAAACATGCAGACGCCTTTTCACGTTTCTAAAGTACCGTTTTCGCACTAATTAACCCAAACACAGGTTCACTTAATTAGCGGAAATTGGCAATTTGGTTACCGTTGCAGAAGTGCCTGGGATCGATGTAGAAGCAGCGTCTTTCTGAGCGGAGTCTGCTCTAAAGAGTTCAGGTGTCGTCTGTGGCCGCAAGATAGACAGGTAAAATAACCAGCTGGTCAGTGGCAATCTGATGAAAACTGATCCGAAGCGACCATAGTTTTTGTTTGGTAAACAATAACAATTTTTTATCAGCCTGAGCAGAAAGCTGTTGTTACTGTTTCTACGGTAGCCTGACATCCATGGGCAGAGCCTAAAAAATTTTGTGATTACGCCATTTCGCGGAGATGTCTGTTTATCTCTGAGGTCTTTGAAGGTTTTGTTGCCGAAAAGGACTCATCAGGTGTAGAACTGTTATGTGATTTACCTTCTTTAAAAAATGATTGCCAGGTAGGACAACATGATAAACATGGAGTATGGTTGTTTCATTTATTATGTTTTTTTCAGATTATGCTCTTCGTTTGTAAGGGCGTCTTTGCTACGAAGCACATGCAAGGATGCAAGGACGTTCACAAATCTACACCTACGACGGACCTTATTTTCGTCTTNCAGATTATGCTCTTCGTTTGTAAGGGCGTCTTTGCTACGAAGCACATGCAAGGATGCAAGGACGTTCACAAATCTACACCTACGACGGACCTTATTTTCGTCTTCGAAAAAGGTCACTATTCCAACGAGATTTCCCCTTCCAGATCAGATTAGGCCAGTAAATGGAGTTGTTGACGATACAAAGCAACAGAAACGTGCCTGGCATCCAGGCAACTCTTCAGCCCTTCCACTGAACATCAACGACGAGAATAAAGTGACCGGAATGCAGATCATTAAAACAATGTTGGGCTACGTTTGGCCACAAGATCGACCGGAAATTCGAAATAGGGTGCTCGCTGCGGTGGGCTTGCTCGTGGCTGCTAAGGTGGTCAACGTAGAGGTACCCTTTATCTTCAAGTACGCAATCGACCACCTGAACAAGCACACCGGTGATGTGTTGGCGTTGACTGATCCAAGCAGTACTGTCATGACCACGGCCATCTCATTGATGATTGCCTACGGCGCAGCCAGAGCCAGCGCTTCGCTCTTCAACGAAATGCGCAATGCCGTCTTTGCAAAGGTGGCCCACGACTCCATTCGACGCGTCGCCACGCAGGTCTTCAAGCACCTGCACAGCATGGACCTGAACTTCCACCTGAATCGAAACACCGGTGCTCTGTCGAAAACAATCGACCGAGGAACGAGAGGCATCAACTTTGTTCTCTCCGCTCTAGTCTTCAACGTCGTGCCTACTATCTTCGAGGTATCGCTCGTCTCTACGCTTCTCTATTTGAAGTTTGGACCAGCATACGCATACGTCACTCT